ATATGTATTACGCGGAAGTTCCTCATTCTTTAACAGATATAAATCGATTATAAATTAAATAATAAATTAAAATTAATAACTTACCTATATTAGCATTATTTTATCCAAAAGTGCTATCTGTAGGCTGCATATATTAACTGTAATTTATCTCTGTAGACATTCAAAAATAATCAGAAACTAGAATGATAATTTAGGTGATACAATTTTGATTTGTATGTACGACTTTAAATTAAAACACTTTAGTTCAAATTTTTAGAACATGGCATATTGGCATTACACGTTATGGTTTTATAGATGTATTATTATCACACGGTAAAAAGAGTATAAGAATATGTGATTTTCAATCTTTATTTATAACACACTTGAGACATAGGAATCCAGAAATTTGTTAGTTTTAACTTTGGTACTGATTGATAAAGTAAAGCGATATAAATATTAAATTCTGAAAACAGATTTTAGTTATTCGTCAAGTCTACTGAAGATTGACTTCCAGCAGTTTTGATTTTATTCTTCTATACATTTTCCCCTCCTCCCACCTAATCAGAAAAATAAAAATATTTATTTATAAAATGTACCCTATTATAAATATTATCTTTCTTTAACCATTCAGGCTTTTTAATCTAATTTTATATTATACTATTTCWATTGTATTTGTAACTGTATTGTCTGTATTCATTGTATTTGTATTTTGAAATTCTTAATTGTAATTTTAATTGTAATTGTTGAAATTCATTGTATCCACAAAGTTTAAATTAAAAAAAAAAAAAAAAATGCACCAATACAAATCAAAAACTCTCGTATTTAAATTTTTGGAGAAACTAAATAAAAATGTGGTAGTCAATGAACCTCATAATTTTACAAAAAATTTTCTAAAAATTCAATCCGTTTTCAGAATTGATGCTTATCATTTTACTAGATCGATGATACGCTGAATGTTTGAATAAAAACACGTCTAAATTTCTATGTTATACGTGTGCTGGACACTGCTGGTCGTTAACAAAACAGGAAATCACCGCTTCCAATATCTATACTTAAAAAATGGTTTACTTTTCATTGTGATAACTTATAGGTAGTGCTATATTATTTATTATTATCTTCAGTTCTCATAATTAACTCATTGTCTGCAAAACTGTAGTTTTGATAAGATGAATAGAACACAATACAAATTCAAACATTTACATAAAAATATATAATATTATATAATACTTTTTAATTAATTTGTAACTATTATGTTCTATGAATGTGTAACTGTGTAAGTCTTAAAACTATTTTTTTTCTTTATTATTACAGTAAAAGCTTAAAACTTAGAATATTGATTGTGTTCAGTGGCGTAGCTAGGAATTATCCAAGAGTGGGGGGGCTTTTCTTTCTACACATCACTAAAAGCGTTTAACCGTTTGGATTCGTACTTCGTTTTTGTCATATTTCCTATGTTTTTGAGGTACTAGTGCTTAATGTGTTATCACTGCGACACTGCATTATACAATTAAAACTAATGAGTTATCACTGTATCCTTCTTTTTACGCCAAGGGGGGGGGGGTAATAACAATCATTGCAATTTATTATTTATCATTGTGTAATCAATAATATTTAGCTGTATAATAATCATAATAAGTCATTCCATGCAAATCTATAATAGTTTACGTTTTATTACATATAATTTTTTATCACGAGACAACATCAATTAAAATACTGTCCATATTCTTTTGGATTTAAATTTTAGTGCCCCAATTACAAAATGTCGTAGGGTGTCCATATGCACTCACTCCTCTTGCGCACGTTTATGATTTCATATAGCTACCTATAAATGAACAAATCATATTATGAATACAAGGTATTCAGTACCTACCTATTAAATAAATAATGGAATGTTGGCATATAGACACGTAAATAGTTTTCATAAAAACTTGAAAAAACATTTATACATTAAATCGTTTAATTTTAACGTTCAAGCATATCTAATATATTATAAAATAATGTTAATATGTTAAACTTATTACTATTAACTATATCGATTAAAAACAAATCTCTAAAAATATTTAATACGAACAGTTATATTATAGGTATGGGTGTCTGATGTAACCACATGTACCTAAATATGCAATAGAAATAGCTGACAAATATGTTATTGACTAGCTAGGTATATGTAGTAACTTTTATTCTAATCAATGTTACATTTTTTATAATATATATCTTTAACAATTACAAGGTATGTAGGCATAAACATTAAAATAATATTTTTTATAATAACCAATTGATAAAAGTAAAAGTTTTAACATATTATTGACAGCGGTAGTTAATTCTATTAATTCTATTTTATCTTTAAATTATARTAAAAAATGTATTTGATGGCACTTTTATACATATAAACCCATTTTATATTTTATTATATGCCAAAAACAAAAAAAAATTATAAATAACATATTTGAATTTATATAATATTATGCGTCGTTATGTGATATATTATTATAATAAGCTAACACTAAATTTTTGTGCGATGATGACAACTCGTGCGATCGCCGGAATAATTATTAAATTATTTATATTCCCAATATATAAGATATAAAAATAAAATACATACAGTCGTACAGAATAAAAATTATAAATATTGCCTAAACAAATATTTTTACGACTTGAAATTGTCAAGAAAAATGATAATTAAGAGCATTAGGTATTATTCTTTTAGGGTTTCACTTCTTTTAGGTATTACACAAAAATGTATACTTTTCACTTTTTCAGGTATCATATAAAAACAAATAAACTTCAGTTTAATTACGACGTATATGCATATTGTTAATATGTTGCCAAATCAACTATAATATTTAAATATAATGTATACATTTTTAAAATAATGGCATAGAATTACAAAAGTTATGTAACCGGCGTATTTTGATAGAAGCATAAAGCACAGTAGTAGTACCTACCTACATGGCGAAATTATACTCGGTTGGTATTTAACTATCTCATATGGGCAGGTACGTTTAGGTTAACGATTTGTGTATAGCTAGACGAATTTTATCGTTACCCACAGATAATTAAATGACAAAGTTAAAATTAAAATAGGTAGGTACGTTTAATCATCAAACCACGTCGGGTAAATTTTCTGAAAATGTTTTATGCGTTTATAATGATATATAGGTAGCGTAATAAGAAATACATTTTTCTTATCGTAATTAACACACTTAGCTTGAAATCATAAAAAAATATCGTTATTAACTAATATTATGTTCTTCCAATAATATTTTAACGAATAATTAAAAACTTACGTTAGATCTTATAGATTAATAATTAATAATTAATAATAATAAATAAATAATAATTCKTTCTACATACTTTTATGGCGGAGTTTCCGAAAAATAACAAATTCACGTTCGAGTGCTTAAAACTTCGAACGACTGGTGAGATACTTTTTTATCATTATATGAGTATATGACTATTATAGTATTATACATAATAAGATTATTTCAATCATATATCATGCGAGATTGATTAATATGTTACACTTGTACCCATATTGCATATTTTCATTACTTACATAATTATTGATCAAGTATTAGAAGCTTTTGAGAGCGGTTTTTTTTTTAATATTCCTATCAGACGAAAGACCTTCACTGCAGGTTGGTTCTTCCCTCAAGATATTCAAGCTGCTACTTACATAAGTATTATCCTTGATGTTTATTGTAGGACTGTAGGTACTTTTTTATGTACAGATTGCAGGTATAAACACTAGATTAAAAATAAAAATAATATCCATATCTGTTTACAATTTGTGTAAACTTAATCCTTTGTCACATCTGTAAAGCTCGCAGTACTCAAAATATAAATGTAAATTTCATCAAGGATATTTTTTTCAATATACTTATATAATAACATATAATATGTATACACACACTTATAACATATTGGTAGGTACCAACTACATTAAAATTGTCAGTATATCTATTATATTGGTATAACTATACACCACACCAATGTGGAATATTTTTTTTTAGTATATATGGACTGCCTGGACTGGTAGGGACGTAGGATAGTAAGATTTGTTGGGGAAAATTATCTTCTCTTTATTCATATTTTAGTGTATTATATAACAGTTTATTTCATTAATCGAGGAGTTAATTTAAATATATACATTCCAAGAGAATGATTAAAAATAAATGTAAAAAAAATTGTTTTAAAAATGATTCAGAGCGAAAATGATCTGTCAGTCAATATTACTAAAGAGTAAATGCATCTGATTTACTGATATTATAGTCACTATTAAAGTCATTTATTTTATTACTAGTAATACAGTAGATTTAATTGATTTTACCAAAAAAAAAAATAATAATAATAATAATAATATTTTTAAATTACAACAAAATAACTAAATTGTTACTCTTTGTTTAAATATCTAATTTGGTCCAAATTTTATGAAAATATCTAAATGGTTTGGTGTATCTACAATATTTTTAACATATTATACTTTATACTTCAATATATTGGACAGACAATAGTTGGCACACCAGCTCACGTTAAAGATTGGTACTAGTGTACCAGACCCTATTTTTATGTGCACCACAAATGTACAAGTGTGCACAACAATTTTAACATGTATGCACTATGGTCTACAAACAAAAATTATATAATATACTTGCTACTAGAAAATATGAGTATTACCTGAATTTTTTTGTTTTATTTGATTGCATTGTTAAATTATTATACTTATATATATGTAATACTTATATGTATATAATATATGCAATACATTGCTTTTTCTAAGATAGTAGTGCACTAGTACATACAAATTTTGTTTAAAGCAGTAAAATTAAGTGTGCAGTTCGAAATTTTATAAATAATAGGGCCTGTTAAGTGTACAACCAAACAGCAGAAATAAACATTTTGTAAAATGCGTTTATTAAAAAAAAAGTTATTGAATCTAATATAAAGAAGATTAACCATCAACAAAAAAATATTTAAATTATTATTTATGGTTATCTTACAGGATATTTATTAAATAACATTTCACTTGTATTTTAATCATCGCTTTCCCAATCTTTCAATAACTCTTCAACAACTTTATTTTTTTTAATGTTGTTCTTTAAATTATTTTTTTCTTTTCTTTTTCTTTTTTCTTTGTTTGAAGTAGTAACTCCAGCATCTAATGTACAACGGGTGGTTTGTTCACTCATTATAATTTTAGTGTTTGATAATTTGTTCTTTGGTACAACTTCATTTGAGATTGGTAAAGTTCCACTTGTATCGAGATTTAAATTTTCACTGTAAATACAACCATCATTTACCCAATCATCCAATATCTTTTTAGCAACCTTATTTTTTTTAACGCCTGATACTTTGTTCTTTGAATTATTTTGTTTTTTCTTTGGTTTTTGTTTATTAGAGATGATAGCTCCAGCATCAAATGTGTAATCGATGCTTTGTTCACTCATTTTTAGTGGTATTAATGGTATTAATCACCTATAAAATATATAAAATAATAATTAATTTAACTAATAAAACAACATTAAGTGTTGAACAAGCCACAAATCTAAACAAATTCCAAACGATAAAATAATAGAAAAACTTGGGCATTTAAATTTAAGACATTTTAAACACCCTTGTTTAAGTAAAGACTTTAAATAACTAGAAATAAAATTGTCATACAGTATCCAATTAGTATTTAAAAAATCTAAATAAAAATATTTAATAATTAAGGATACGTAATGAAAATTAATTTTGGTTATAAGTTGAGCCCGGATTTGTATGTTTTTGAATATTATTTTCCTTTTCACTTTTTTATATTTTTGTTAATAATCTTCATGAATCATAGAAATTGGAATTCACTGCTTAATTTTTATTTTGCATATTTTATCATATTTAAGCGAAAAAATGTTGGTCGGTAGGAGTGGTAGGACGCGGAATTAGCAACACAGTTTTAGCTATCTTAATCTAAAATACGTATTATATGTAACATATGATACATATATACATTAGAAATAGTTGAGGTAATCACAATGTTATCGTTAATAACTTAACAATGTAATACATTTAATTTATGGAAAATATACCTTTACCGCCCGTCCCAGTAACATCTAGGTGGGGAACATGGATAGTCATTGCTATATTTTATAAAATGCCAAAAGGTAATTGAAAAACTCCCAGAAGACAACGGATAATGTGACAAAAAAGTATTTGATAGTTGATATTATTAAATATAGATTGGTTGTGAATGAATTAATACTAATATTAAATTATATGTCATTTTTAGTTAAAATAATTAAAAAACTAGAAACACACAATTTGCTTTTATCTGAATGTTATTGTTTAATAAGTGAATTAGAAGAATAAATAAACATTATTCCTAGGCCTAAAGGGGCAACATTAAAAACAAAAGAATGGCTGATTAGAAAAAGTAGGTTAATATTCCAAAAATACGTAAAACAAAACTGATAGTATTATTAAGATCTCATATTTTTGGAAGTTAGAGCTTAGGTATTAAATTATGTATATTGTACAGGCAAGTTTTCGATTCAAGTAAAAATTAAGGAAATAAACAGTTTTTATTAACTTCCAAAAATTTGATTTTGAAATATTAACCTTTTTCTAATCAGCTGTTCAAAATTAAATGATATTTTCTTCAAAAACAAAGACCTAAAAGTATTACGTAAAATTCACAAAGTATTATTAGGGGAATGGGGAATCAAAAGCAGTTGAACTAGATAAACTATTAAGACCCAATGATCTTAAGCTCTTTTAAATTTGCCCCAATAACTTCAGTTGATTGTGAAATATAATTTTTGATATACAAGTATTTATTAACAGATAAGACTGCATAGTTTTACCAAAAAAAAACTTGAATATCATTTAATAATTAATCTTAAAAATAAAGAATAAAAACACATTTTGAGTTGCATATTTTACTTTATTTAAAAAAAAAAAATATATTTATGAATTTATTTATAAATTTAATTTTTTTTTACTGCATATTTGTTGCATATTTTTATGATTTTTATTGCAAATAATAGGCATATTATGATACGTTTTAATGCATACAAATCCAGGCTCTAGTTATAAGCATATATTTTTTTATCTTGGAACCTTGTTAAGATCTGATCTTGAAAAAATTATGATTTAATACTATAAACCAAAAACTCAAATTTGATTCAGTTGGTTTCTATTTTTTCTAAGCCTTAGTTTAATCAATAATAATAAAGCAAAACTGCAAAAGGAAGGTGTTTGTAATATTTTTTTTAGTATAAATTATAACATTTTTTAATAGGTACATTTTCCTAAATACTATTACTTTTTTTACGCTTCTTTCATAAATTACATAAACTACAAATCAAATGTCTAAAATTAAGTGGTCAACTATAAAAACAAATCAAGATTCAACTAGTTACTAGTAAATCATTGCCTATGAAATAAACAAAATATATAAACCTACAAACTTGAAAATCTAGGAAATAAAAATACTACAAAATAGGTACTACACATTACATGGATTATTTTTTAATGCCAACATAAAAGTTTTAATTAAATATAATAATAATTAAAGAACACACATTACTACATGTTTAGGTGAGGATTTTTTACTTTTAAATATATAGTATAACCATAATGTACCAATTATGCATATAACCACCGTATCTTAACTACCCAAAACTATAAGTAGGTATCACAATTTTGAAAAAAATAATTTTGTGTTTGGGAAGAGAATAGAAATAAGGTTTACCAGGGGTTATTAATATACTTTGTCATATTTTTTAGATTTCTTTGAAGACACTAAGTCCGACTTTGTTTGAAAATATTAAAAATGACAGAATAAAATGGGTTATTCTGTCATAAAACATATTATCTGTTTCATAACCTACTCAAGTTGCAACTGGTTTATTGGTGTCTAAGTTATGTTCAACCGTTTTTGATTTTCTCACTCTAATGGTGTCCAATAATGATCATTCTTTAAACTATTCCTAGACCATCTCGATTATTTGTTCACACTATCTATTATGTGTCTCCAGAACCACGTCTCCATTCTCCAATTATTCTAATGCCTTTCTTTTAAGTTTTATTTATTACTCAAATTTCACAACCATATTATAACGCTATGCTCAAGATATATTTTTTTACAAGTCTTTTCCTAATGTTAATGTTTAATTTCTTAGATGTGAATAGTTTGTATTTTCTACTGAATCGTCTGAATCCCTCAAAACCCTTAGCCACCCATGTGTTTTTAAATTTCTATGATGTCCTTACCATCTACTGTAATCATGCTACCTAAATATATGAATTCACTGACTTGGTCAAGCTTATGGTTATCTACAAATATTTCAGCTAGTATGGTTTTTGGTTTCTTTGTGCATACCAAGATATTGATATTTAATTTATTTAACTTTGAATAATAGGTACCTATATAAAAATATTTATTAGTATTGAAAATACATAATAATATGTAGATACAATATTACTTTCTACACCAGGGGTAGCCAATATGAATAAGTCCACAAGCCATATGGATAAAATATACATTGATATCAAGAGCCAAAATGTTTATATACATTTTATCATTTTATAATTTTTTATTGTTAGTAAATAATAATTATTGGTTATTTTAAAATAAGACACGAGCCATTCCTATTCTATACACAATTACATTTCTTTACAAAAATATTTAGACTAATTTTAAGCTATTAATTAATTCATGAACCTTTATTCACACCATATATAGTATTTAATAGAGCAATGGCTTTATTTTTAATATTAATAATATTATGATATAATATGAATTGTTATAATCAGGGCTCGGATTTTATAGCATTTGCTTATTTTTATAGGATACACATAAAAATAGCAGAGTGAACTATTTGTTTTATGCATAAAGGACTTCAATATAAAATAAAACACATATTAATAATAATATTATTTTATTTGCATATTCAAAGTATTTTAGGCTTTTTAGTGCTTCATTTTGCTAATTTTCAGAACATACCATTTTATTTTGTATGTTGATTAATCTAGTTTGTATTATGTGGTAGCTTTAAAAAGTTTGTCATTTATTTTAATCCATCAGAAAAATAATAAATATCCACATGATTTTTCATATTAAAATTTAATCAATAGAATAATGTTAACAATTATGGCTCCTTATCGGTTGTACGGCTCATATTTATGTATTTTGTAGTACATTCATACGATTAAAATTTTATAAATTTTAAAATGAATTTTCTTTTTTGCTATTTTTCATTTCTTTAGGGCATATGCTATAATATTATAGTGCTTATTTTAAGAGTTTTAGGTCATATCACCACACATTTCAGTTATTTTTGGTGCTATAAAATCTGAGCTCTAGTTATAAATAATATTTAAAAAATGTATTCATATAATAATACTTTAAGCAATAAACATATAGTATTAATAGTAGCAATAAATATGTATTATAAAATATCCTTAGAAAGATGGATTGTACATGTTCTCTCAGAATTGAATTTCTTATAGGTACTCAAGCATATCCTCGAGCATATCACATATGTCTAGTCTCCACCCCTCTGATTTTTAGATTTCTGACCAATTACATATTTCATTTGAATTTTTTAACATTTTTAGGATGTTTATTAAATTTTTGGAAGCTGAAAGTAGTCAAAAAAATAAATTTTTATGCAGTCATTCAAACAAGTGGTCAGCAACATTTTTAATGTCAAGAGCCAAAAAATAAATATGAATTTTTCATGGGGCACAGTTTGAATATACCTTATTTTATTTTAAACAAAAATGTGTAGTTGTTATAATCTCATATAATATCAAATTTAGTTTGTTCAAGTTCATAATTATGTAAGGTTTATAAATTGAGCAAGGTATCAACAAACAAACTGCACTTTGATCTACAGATTTCAGTCCATACTAGTATCCTTGTTTTTGATTCTTATACAAATTATACATTTTACTCTCTGACCACAAAAAAATAGTATAAAGGCCACATGAAGCCCGCAAATTTCCAACCTCTCATTTAAAGTATTTTAGACTGTCAATTGTTTAAATTACATTATTTACATTCATAGTTTCAGAATTTTAAAAATTCAAATCCTGTTAAAACATTGAACAATTCTAGCTTAGCTAAAAAAATTAAATCTAATAGGGTGATTAATAATTATTTTAATTTATTTATTATACAACAATTCATCTCAATACAACATCTATTATTTTTATTATGTAACAGACACTTATACTATACTACGATTTGTTGTTTGAAAAATTAATTATGAATTAACTACGACCCAACTACCCACCAACCAAATATTATATTTATGTGTTCACACAGATTATATGATAGCCACCACTGAAATATATAAATTGTACAGCATCAAAAATATTGGACATTCTTTAAATACTTTAAATAACATAACTGTAATAATGTAATTTATTAATATATAGAAGGGAATATATATATATATATATATATATATATATATATAGGAACACATTAACAGTAGTTTAGTTGGTAGGTACTATACTATACTATACCTACCTACATTGGTATGCTTTTATGAACAAAATTGCAATTATGTTGAATAGTGGACAGAACCTTAATTTATACTAAACATTTTTACTATAGGTACGCGATTATTTTACTAAAGTCGTCCTTGCAGGTTTATCCAACCCATAGCCATATTGACCATAATATTATCATAATATTAGGCACTTACCTACCTAAGTACAATACAATTTAATTAATAAATTACAGGCATAGCGAGATGTATGAAACTGTTTGTTCCAACAAATTACAATAGGAAAACTGAATAATATATGGTACGTGACTGCATATTACCTCAATGACCCTCCGTAATAAATGGTGTCGCTTATAATTTGTCGGGCCGGTCTGTAGAGATCAAAAATCGTTTCRTCACTGCATACGACGAATAGTGTTGTGCACTGCTTATAAGTTTTAATATCGTACGACGTTTTGTATTAATTATGCACACACATAAACATTCAAGGAGCGGTAAAACGAAGAAAAAAACCACACTTTTAAACGGTACCTACCGATCAGGACCGATGTGGTCTGACGATGGAAACGGACGCGGATAAAATACGGCTGCAGCGGTGCCAGTGTTGACCGACCAAAGAGGAATAAGAGGATATTGTCGCCCGCCAAACGTCGGAAATAATATTATAATAGGAAATGGTATTGTTTGAATAAACGTACCGTGAATAAACGTCGCGGGGTTCAGGTTTACTTCAACATCAGGAAATACCCAGTAAAATGTTTCTTCGGCAGTAAAAACTAAGAATAGACGTGCTGCAAATAACATATCGACGCCGACATGTCGTGTGGGTACTGTATGAGTGGGTGACGTCACGTTTGGGCAATCCCGTCGACCGACCAACTGCGCTGTGAGCCTGTGAACAGTATATTAATATTATTATAATTATTATTATTATTGCAATAGAGATAGACAATCACAATATATAGTACCAACTACCTTCATAGTTGATAGTATTATTATAATATAGCGACCATCCCGTTTATTCTAATAATAAATAATTAATAAAAAACTTGCTTGTCTGTTCTCGCTTCTCTTATTATAGGTATTGGATTATGTAGTTATTATAGTTATATTATGTGATTATTTAATTAAATATGATATAATAATAATTATGTACGAAACGGCTAATAGAAAATATATAACCTATACCCATATATGTTTATAACATAGACATTATAATTTTTAGGTCTCATATTATGCACTAAACATCACGAAATAGTGTATTATAGAATTAAAAGATAAAATTTACCCTAAAACTATAAAAAATATTGAAATAAGCTCTATAATAAGGTGCCTTTAAAAAAAATTAACAGTGTATTTAATCAAACCTCCACGAATCATAATATTATTGTGTTGTTGTTACTATTAGCAGCTAGTGAGCATTCACCACGAAGTTGATAGATTATAGCTAAAATAACGAACGTCGTCCGTAGACATTTGGGTTTAACATTGTTTTTTATGTCCATTGTATAACCGCGATAGTCGATATCTATATCTGTTTGTCGTTTGACATTGTCATCACTCATCGTCTATAAAGACAACATACAAAAAAAGAGACCTCCGTTATAGTCCAAAGTCCATACCGATACCAGTAACTAAACAAATATTCGCAACCCCTTCCCCACCCATCAATAATAAAATTAACCACTATATTAGTCTAGAAATAAACGTTTAAACGTAACACCTAATAATATTATAACTCATAGCTTATTGGCTATTGCCATTTCAATATAGCATGTATACTATATAGGTAGATATAGTGCATATTAGTATATTACTTTTTACTGTCGTGCAATCAAACAGCTTTTTGAGGCGGTAAGACCACGATGGCACGATTAAAGGATCCCGGTGAAGCCCAAAATCGCAAATTGTCTATTTTGTTCGATAGACCAAAAGCGCAAAACGAATTTGGCTTTTTGTACCTTAGTAGTGGTATAGTGGTATATGGACTACTAATGGTCCAGAATAATACCACCGTCATTTGAAAGATCAATTTTATAACCCACACCCACCTATTTATAATTTTATCGAAGTGCTCGAACAACACAAGGCAGAAATTTACTTAAAAATGCAATCAAATGGACGAAAAACTACAAAAACGCATGCTCTAAAGTCAACTCCAATATAAAAGCATGGAACTTAACTTATACATAGAAAAATACATTTCAAGATTGTATTACTTAAAAACTTTGGGTTTCAAATTTAAATTTAAATATTAACGTACTTTTTATAATATTATACTAATTATTTATTTATTTATTTTTATTGACAAAACATCGTCGACAATGGTTATTAGTTGTTGCTATTAAATAAATACAATTTTTTTTCTCATGTAAATTTTTAATTATAATGTTTTAAATTAAATCGATTATCTTGTTTGTGGGTGTTTTTATACTAATTAAAATTATTTTATTAATTTTATAATCACGAATAGGTAGCATAGTATTAATAACTATATGTTTTTAATAAAAATGAACTATATTATGATTTTAATAAAATACACTTTTTTTTATAAATTTAATTTGCGCTTATGGGATATATTTATTTTTTCGCTTCCGGGTTTCGTTTGGGTCATATTTTGCGCTTATGGGCTACAGCCAAGGGTCCAAGTCATAAATAATTAAGTACTTTATCTATAGTCCTAGTGTCCTACACACTGCAGCAATAGCGGTGGCGGTAGCAGTTATACAAAAATGAAGCCTACACAATATTTTTAGATCCTCCACCGCCAAAACAAAAGAATTTTACCGCCACCGCTGCAGTGTGTGGCAAACATTATTATCGCGTGGAAAACAATTTTATCGTCATCATGGCCACTGCATTTGGGTATTATAGGCATACTCATTACCCGTTATAAGATATATGAATCATTAGGACACAATAATTTTTTAATTTTATTAKAATCTCGAGAGATTCTGCATAGCTCTTATTCGATTGTGTGCACGATAAGAAAGGCCTATTTTAATTTTAGACATAACATTTTTTTGGTTCACATTTATTTTACCCTTCTTAAGTGGTTTGAGACGGTTGATGAGTTTGAATGTTGGATTATATATTATTACATTTATAGGTAACGTGTCACTCGTGTCAGGTACTATGCGTATTCAGCCAGTGATGTTTCCATCAATTTTTATGAGAGTATACTCGTATACTACGCTTAACTACTGAAAAACGCCAAATTATAGATATTTATTATTTTTTTTTACGATAAGAGTTTTGGAGAGAGGTTTAATTGATAACCAAAAAATTACTATGATATTTTTAATAAAGGGAATCAAAACAAAATTATAAAAATTAATTATTTAAATAAATTGTACACAATATGTAGATGTAGTATAGTACAAAAGACTGACAACGACGATTTCAGGAAATACCACTAATAACGATTGTTTGGAGATTTATTTTTCCGTAATATTTATTATTTGTACATTTTTTGTGGAATATCGATGACATAAATAGAACTGTATAAATATTGGTCAACTATACCCGTGACTTGTTATTGGCCGCGTTGCTCGACGGTTCATTAAAAACCTACTATACTTTTATTTATGCAATTATGCAAAATAAATAATGCATTAAAATAATGTAATATTTATCTATTCTGTGGTATTATGATCAGTCTTATTTAATATCAAATAGTATTAATTTATATAGGTAATTTTTAAATTTAGAATATATATATTTAAAAAAAAATTAATATACTTCTTATTTTTTATGGTTTATTTGAGAGTGTACCGTATACGTCCTATAAACATGATATTTTAGGAAAAGCTTGAGACGGGCCCGCATATTATGCCCTATTATCGGAACACTACTGAGTATAGCTGCGTCCTACGCGGGCTTCACGTATATAAAATAATAATACAGTGTATCATGTAAATAAAAATGTTTGCAAACCTTTTAGCAACGATTTAGAATTTAAATAGGTATGTTTCAGATAATACGTATAAATGTTTGTTTATAAAGTAAAAATATATTTTTGTAATTTGTTAACGACTAAGTGCCTGTCACTGGCAGTATCAAAAAGCCAACGATATATTATGCAATTGGTTTTTATTATTGTTTAATTTTAGTGTCGGTATCTATTATTACTTTTTCCCCAAAATTACGACGTCGCCGAACATCAATAATAACTACATCGTCTACATCCAGTACATCCCATATAAAATATTATATATTACCTATATTACCTATATTATTATTGACTATTGTTATACTCAATATAATTAATTAATTTAATAATATGAAACRTTTTAATATAAAATATTTCCCGATATACCTATAGGTACGGCGTGTTCCTACAAAATTCAGTGATTGGAAAACTATAAAATTATTTTTATCACTTTTTGAATTTATTTTTAACTATCATTTTGTTTACGATTATTTCTCCTGGTAACAAACAGCCAAATAAGCCGAAATCTGAATTAAACGTTTTAGCAGGATCCGTTTCATTTGAAACAATTTTCAAACAGTCCCGTATATCAGAAAGAAGAAGAAAATATTTGATTACGAAAAAGCTAATGCTAATCCAATCCAATACCCGAAATATTATTTCAAGTTTTCATGCTTTTTAATAGTTATAGATGGAGCTTTAGAAACAGTAACAAATATATTTCAACATGCTAACAATTTCAATGAATTATTTGGATTTGTTTACAGAATTGGCAATCTCGATTCGTACTTCAGTCCAATACTCAGTGCCAATGAAGTCCTAAAAATCTATTAGGGTGAAAAATATTTCAAGTGGCCCTATCCTAAATTTTTAAAATATGTAGGGTCATGGCCCGACCTAAACATGGGGTTCGGCGCCACTGTCTCAGTAACAGCTATTAAAACGTCATTGTACGTATCATGTTTTATGCCTTATATACAGACTACAGTAAATTAAGATAATGATATTTGTAATTTGTGGCGATGAATTGTATCAAGAATTGTTATTTTTGGAAATATTGTAGACGAGTCTGCAACACCAATAATTAGAGTTCTCCTTTATATATAAAAAAAAAACAAATGGATGCTTTCCAAATTTTTGTATTGCGTTGCGTATATTACTGACCAATGACCATCATACGGATTACTTCAGCTGCAAATGAACGCAATTTCTCTAAATTAAAACTTATCGAAAAATATTTAAGAAATTCCATGTACCAACAGAGATTAACAGGTTTAGCAACACTAACAATTGAAAAAGACTTATCAGAAAAAATAAACTATGGAACCGTAATTCAAAACTTTGCAGCACAGATAATTAGAAAAATCAATTTTCACAGTTATTTTATATGTTTTGTTGATAGATACAACTCCTATATTTTAATTTTCTTCTTCTTCTCAGCTTACCGGTCCGTTGAGGACCATTGTTGCCTTCACTGCCTCGCCATCTCTCTCTGTCGTAAGTCAGGTAATTATGTCATTTAGTTATTGATGTAGAATTATGTTTTCATCTTAACTTTAGTCATGTTCAAACTAAATATTAATTTTAAGAGTAGTAACTTGAAATATTGTACATTAAACAAGCTTTTATATTATAATCTCTACAGCCAGCTGGATCCGCCCGCTCCTCGCATACGTCATGTGGTCTCCGCCTACCAAAATCG